AATTGCTAGACGGGGATATTTACATGAAAAGAGTACTACTTGGAGTACGTACGAAGGTTATTCCACAAACCAAAAGAAGGAACGAGTAGAGCATCCTCTACTCGTGACGGGAACTGTTCTGGTGAGCCTTTGGTTCTGCCAACTGACGCTCCATCTCGAGCATACGCATTTCATACCTTGCCTGACGAGCTCTAAGTTCCCTGACTTCAGTTTGAGTTGCAGTTAGCTCTCTCTGCCAGGCCTCATTTTGATTTACGATTCTTCCATGAGCTAATCCTAATTGTCGGATGCGAACTGTATTGACCCCGGTGTTCGCATCATTCTCCTCGGTTCGTTGGATAGTTGCCCTTCCTTGCTCATCATTGCGAGCAATTAGGCGAACCATTATAGGAAGGACTCTGTCTGATGAGCCCCCCTCGCTCATATTGTAGAAGCTTCGGTCTCCATTGTATGGAAGGGATTGACCCTGTTCGCGACTCCACCTATTCAGGTTGGTTGCCCATAGAGGTGTCGAGCCATGAAATTCCGGTCGAGGATTAGGATTTTGGATCGGAGCCACTAAGGGTAGGTTATTGTCTTCGGGATCTGAGTCGGAGTCTTCGTGCATTTCTTCCTTGACTTCTTCTTCCGGATCATTCTCTATCCCTCCTCCACTGTCTTGGTTCGGGTAGTAGGGATCCCCTGGTAGATGAAATACAACCATTGTGTATGTGCGAGAATAGAGATATGAGAATTGTCTAAAAGCTAATGCATATAAGATGCAAATCGAAGTTAAACTATTGCATTTACAAAATACTCCTATAGTATTCTAAATGTTACGTGTGATTCTATGGTTTATAAGTTTGGTAAGTTTTAGACTTGTTGTCCACTGTAGCTATCCCCTGGCATATGTTGGTCGGCTCTCGGACAAATATAGTTGATCAGGCTATATTCATCCCAGTTCCGATTACATATCTCAAGGAATAACTGTAGTGCACAACTCCTCTATAATACTTCTATATTGTTTTCATCATGATACTGACCCTGTTATACAATGTATGCATGTATACCTTATAAAATTTTATTTTAAAAGTATAACTCTCACTCAGAGTGTTTTTTGCCCAGTTGTGTTTATAGTTGTATATCAAAAATGGTTTTGATATACTTAGTTCACTATAAACAAGGCTCTGATACCAATCTGTCACACCCCCAAACCTGAACGGCGGAAACATTCGGGGGCGGACGACGTCATATTCAGTATCATAACAATTGAATAGTAAAGAAAGTACACACCACCATAATATAAATATATTTGAAAAGTTTACATGATCGTATGTGTTACATGTTTGAATATCAAATACAATATGGTGATCCAAAATATGTTTCTAACGCCAACGCGTTAGTCTTCAAAAGTAGTTGCTACCTGGTTTAGCGTTTTCCTGAGAATACAAGTTATTTCCAAGAAAAAGTGTCAACAATAAAGTTGGTGAGTTCATAAGTAGTGTTTTGAGAAAATGTATGCCATTCGAAAGTTCGTGTATGTTTTCCAGAAAATCCGATATTTTCTTATGAGTGTATGAAATGAGTATGAGTGTTTGTTGTATAAATTGTATGTATTTGAACCAGGAAAATCCTATATTTTCCTAAATGTGAAATGCAGTCTCAAATGTCCAAGACCGTAATCTGTAAGCAACTATGACATGCTCAAAAGAATGATGTATAGTCTTATTATAAAACAAAACTATAAGAAGATTTGTATTTCAATGTGAAAAAAACTGTATCTGTTACTTTTCCCGTGAAAACATAATACCATAATAATTGTCTATCCAGTGAGTTTTTATAACCGTACTATCATAATTTGCCTGTAGCGACGTTCTTCAGGCGTCGAAATGAGATGACACTTGTCACCCCGGGAACTGTAGCTAACAGTTAGGGCGCAGGATCATTAGTCCCGTATAGATCTATACACACTTGCCACGTTCTCCGGACGGGAGATTCTGGTTATAAACAGGACTTCTAACGGTACCTTAAAAGGTATGTTGAAGATGAATGAGTCACGAATTCTCAATTAAGTCTCGTATTAAAATGAATGCACTTGTTTCTGAAATGATTATCCTTTTAAACGATAATAACAAAGGCATGATAATGATTTGTATGTTCTTGCATGTTTACGAATGTTATAGTAAAAAAGGGTTACCCTTGATATGATGCAAACATATAAGTAAAACTTATACTATTTAAAATTTATGTTTCATCCCGAGAGGGTAAAGTGGTGTAAGATGTTTGCATGTTAACATGATCCATATGATAGTTATAAAAACGACAGGAAATGTATAACAAAAGATTGATGTTTTCACACGAGATTGACCGTGTGTTTACTTGTATTCCCCCCGTAAAGTGTTCAAAAAGCATTTAAAATCAGTTAAAAGCGTAGAAATGGGGGTATGAACTCACCTGATAGAAGTGGTGAGTTGAAGAAGGCGAGACTAAACTCGGGCAGTACTTCGACTGGAAAGAAGCAATTCCTCGGGAACTTCGGGACTTCGAGCCTTGCGTCGTGTGCTAGGGTTGTTTTCGGGGCTTCGGGGTGGTCTCGGGATGCTTAACACAGAGTAGGAGTGGGAGAGAGGATAGGAATGAGCAGCCAAACTCGAAAGGCTTCAATTTCTATATATAGGCTAAAAATCGAAGTTCACGTCGTGAGTTTTGCCAATTCACATCGTGAGTTTGTCCCGAATCGCTCATGGCATGCGTCATCTGTCAAGTGGCTCTGAAATGGTCAGTCAGACTGTTCACGTCGTGAACTCTGACAATTCTGACACAGCGTCGAAGTCCGTGCCTCGAACTTCAGAAATTCATATCTTTCGCATACGAGCTCCGTTTTCGACGTTCTTTATATCCACGCGTAGGTGAGATTATGCTCTACAACTCTCGTTTAGACTCCGTTGGCTAATTTTGACTTTAATTTTAATAATACATTTTTTACAGGCCTGGATAGGAAAAGTCCGTTAAAAATCCATAACTTCTTCATCCGATGACCGTTTTCGTCAGAATTTTTACCGTTGCAATACCATTGATGAGATCTTCGATTCTTATTTAGGTCATGTTTGGCAAAAAGTCGCTCGATCTCTAATTCGAGTTTTTAGTTGTCTACTGCTATGTCCGAAACTTCGAAAAATCATAACTTCCTCATATGAAGTCAGATTTGGACGTTCTTTTTATGCATGTTTACGGTTTTGGGATATCTAGGAATTTCATTTAGACACCTAAGGTTGAAAAGTATTTTATTGAATTTTCTCGTTTTATGCTTAACAGTGTTTTACCGGTACTGTCGCATATCTTAGATCGGTCATAACTTCTTCGTTATAACTCGGATTTTAGTGTTCTTTATATTTTTGGAAACCTAGTTACGATCTCTATCACTTCATTTATCCCAATTAAGGTTATTGAACAATTTATTTTTGACCTAAATTTTGTTGGTGTTACATCTTAGTGCATTCTTATGGCTAAGAAGAGGAGTCATGAATTGTTGAAATGGTTAAATCAAGAAGATGAGTCATACTTCGTTCCAAAACAAGTTTTAGAGTCATACTCCAAGATTGTAATGAGTGACATCTTAAAGAATGTTTATAACACTTGTCAAATGTAAGAGTAAAATGTTTTCTACTCTTGTACATTTGAAATTGGTAAGTTGTGATGTTTTGGATAAAACAAAGACCAACTAAGGCCAATTGTGTGAAGTGTTTGTCTTGATAAAGAATCCGCACTATCTCTTGAATATTTGGCAAGATAGTCTTATATGTCAAGAGGACAGTGGGAGTCTTAAAGATCCTGAAAGAACTTCAAGATCTAATCAAGAATAAAAACCTGTAGTTTGACACTAGCACACGACGTGAAGTTTATAACCTATCGTGTTGACATATTCCTATTTCTGTGCCCATTCCAGTTAAAGTTGACTTTGCATATGAGTTCTGAGAGTTCTCAATTGGTTGCATAACAACTTGGAAGCAATGGCAGGCTCTTGTGCTGCCAAGTGGCAAGAAGTTAAGACTGTACAAGTTCAATCCATATGAGTTTGGATTTGTCACTATCCTTGTCTTGTGATTATGGTTTTGACAAATTCACATAGATAGGAACACATACACCATAAAATCTAAGTGTCATAAGGTTTCTCTATGAAAATTATGGTAAGGAAACGCTTTTACCAAGTAGATTTTAAGTAGATAGCAATTATGATATTTGCATTCTTAAAGTCGTTAGTGGAGCGTGTGTGGTTAACCGGCACACTAACATGGACTTGTGAGAAATGGCAAAGGTCTAAACAATTGAGACTATGATACAGGCATCCTTTTTCATAGTTCTGAAATTGTTTAGACACACATGTGTGCTATCTAAAGAAAGATGTATGATTTTGATAAATTTTTTATCAAAGCATTTCGTATCAGAAGTCTGAACTTTGGTAAGAAAGTCAATAAAGTATTGATTTCTAGAAGTCCAACTAATTTCTGAGTACATGTCAAAGCTAATAAGAGCATAAATGTTATGCTAATAATCATCATGCACTACTAGAAAATATGATATTACCTACGGCAAAATCCGTAGGTATTCCGTAGGTACATGGTGTTACCTACGGAATTGCGACGGAAAATGGGCCGTAGCATAATCGCTCGTGGGTAAATGTTAGCGACGGAATTACGACAGATTACCTACGGAATACCGACGGCACGTTTCCGTAGGTGATTTACCGACAGAATACCTACGGAAATTAATAGCTACGGATTTCCTACAGATTACCAACGGAGCCCACTTGACTGACATTGACTTAATTACCTACGGAATACCGACGGCCCAAATTACCGACGGATTTTCCGTAGGTATTCCGTCACTAAAATGATTTTTCTTTTTAAAAAAAAATCCAATTATTTTTGCTGGTAATGCAGAAAAAACTGTCTTTAAAACTGATAATAATATTCATATTCAATGTATTTCATAGAAGTAGCTTAAATACAAACAAATACAATGCATTTCAGTTGTCTTATCCTACTTTGTAGGATATATTCCTTGTACTTAATTTACTTCAAAAAAAAAATTACTCAACTTTACACAAAGATGGTAAAACAAATACAAAGTGTAGCCTCCTTGTAACAATGGCTGCAAAACATGTTCCTCAAGCAATGATTGGTAATAACTAAAGCAAAATGAGAGGGAATCAAATGTTACCTTATTCAACATAAAGAGTTGCTAGCCAGAAAGTGCAGCAATATCACAAAATAACAAAAACAGCAACAACAATAATCTGTAATAGCAAAAACAGCAACCAACAATAGGTAAAATAGCAGAAATGAATGTAATCAAGATCATTGTACAGCTGATGATCACGGGCTCCAATCTAGAATAAACCAATTGTAATTATTAAAAATAATAAATAAGAAGAAGAAACTTAAATGTTAATAAAGGTACAAATTGCACACCTTTGTATTAAACAACATTGAATAGATAACTTACATCTTGGGAGGAAGTCAAAAGGGCTAAGTGTATAAAGAGCACCAAGAAACACCTGCAAACAAGAAACAAGATTCAACAATTCCTTCAAAACTTAGCACCTAAATGCATGTAATCATAATAAACAAGTAAATGAAAGAATATTGCTATTTCTTAACTGCAACTAAAGCAATCTGCTAAGATAAGCAACAGGTCTGTAAAGGCAACTGTAGCACTTGACTGATCATGGAAGAAACTACACCAACAAACAATTTCTCAACACAAGAACAAAGACTTCTATCCTAAATAAAAAAAAGTAAACTAATTTCTCAACTAATTTAGCAGTTTGTATGATTTACTTAACTAAAGGAATATTAACCCCTCTATGTTTAGTTATCTGAGTAGTTCAATACACCAACAAACAAAAAAAAGAAACAAACTCACCTTTCTGACGAGATATACTAACTTAAGTCAGCATCAACAGTTCTTAGGGACTGATATTCAACCCATTAACAACAGCCAAACTTAATCGCAGTAGCAAGAAGCACAACTTTGACAAATAGAAATTTAGATTCTATGATCTTATGAAACAAAGACTTAATAATAAAAAAATCGAGCATGAAGTAATTGAGCAGTAGAAATCGAAAAAAAAAAAAATGAAGTAATCGAGCATGAAGTAATCAAGCAGTAGAAATCCAAAACTCATCTTGCGGTTGTATACATGAAGTTAATATCAACAAAAAAAACGAGGGTTTTACTTGGAGATTAAATGAAGCAGCAGAGAAGAAATCGAGGTTTTACCTTGGAGATGAAATCGAGCAGTAGAGAAGAAATCGAGCAGTCAATAGCAGAGAAGAAATCGACCGCCGGAGAGATGCGACGAGGGCGGAGTAGCG